TAAAATTACATAAATTATTGACATATCCATTCTAAACACTCACAATGTACAAAACATATGCACTGAAAAAAAATCACCAAGTACACAGAACTTGTCTAGGAAATAAGGCATCTGTGGAGGATGGATAGGAGGCTTATTGTACCTGCCATTCTCTCCTGTACAGGTGTGATACCACACACTACAAAAAGCCTGGGAACATTACAGTTGAATAGAAACATATACATCATGCTGTAGAAGGCCATTATATTGAATACATCTCATATTGTTAGGAAATTCCTGAATACAGATGCACACACTGATACATTTATTCAGAGGTGGTCAACTTTTGTGTACATAAGATCTACTTTTTATCTTAAAAATGTGTTGCAATCAACTTGTTGTCATAGGCGTAGTCTAAGTGGCAAGGGGGAAGTGTGAAATACATACTATGAGGGGGCTTCAAAAAGTTCATGGAAAAAGGATAGTATGAAAAAACTATTTCAGTTATGATGATTATTTTTCAACATATGCTCCATTAAGGTCGATACACTAATGCAAACGTTGATACCAGTCTTTAAGTCCATCTGAGTAGAACTGAGGGTCTTGTGATCTGAACCATGTCAGAGCAGCTCTCTTTACATCTTCGACTGATGGAAAATTGGTGCCTTTCAATGATTTTTTCTACTTTAGAAACAAAAAGAAGTCGGATGGGGCTAAATCAGGGCTGTAAGGGGGATGTCGGATGATTTCCCATCGAAATTCACGTAGCACAGCTCTTGTTTGCCGAGCACTGTGAGCAGGTGAATTGTCATGGTGGAAGAGGACGCGTTTATGCAGCTTTCCAGGGCGTTTTTCCAAGATTCTTTTGGACAGTTTTCTCAAAATGCCTTCATAATAAGCAGATGTAATTGTCTTCTTGTTCTCGAGGAAGTCAACTAGCAAAATCCCCTCTGCATCCCAGAAGACAGTGGCCATGACCTTTCCTCTTGAACATTCAGATTTTGCTTTGATTGGTCCACTTCCACTCTGGGGCAGCCACTGCTTTGATTGAATTTTGTTCTCGGGATCGTACTGGTAGAGCCATGTTTCATCCCCTGTCACAATTCTTTGCAGAAAAGCTTCAGAGTCCCCATCCCACTTGTTCAAAATTTCCATTGAAAGATCTGCCCTTGTTTGCTGCTGATCTGGGCGCAACAGCCTTGGGACCCATCTAGCGGAAAGCTTGCTTAGTCCCAAACTCTCCACAAGAATTTTGTGTGCAGAACCCAGAGAGATGTTGAGTGTATCTGCTACCGATTCAGTGGTTATTCGTCTATCCTTTTTTATCAAGTCACCGACAGCATCAATGTTTTCCTCACAAACTGACATTGTTGGCTTGCCACTGTGGGGCTCATCTTCAACCTTGGTTTTTCCACTTCTGAAGTGACTTATCCATTTGTAGGTTGTTGACTTCTTTTGGGCATTATCACCACAAACTTGTTCCAGAGCGTCAATGATTTGTTTATTCTTTTAACCAAGTTTTACCATGAACTTTATGTTTGTTCTGGTCTCGATTTTGTTGGATTTCATGTTGCTTGAATGATGCCTGACTTTCAACTGGCAGCGCTGTGTTCTTACCTGCATTTAAGGGTTTATGTTTGAACATGTTATAACACATTAGTACAAGAATGTTCAGATGCATTAAAATCAAAATCCTTCCAAACAATTTTTAGTTACGGACTTTTTCCATGAACTTTTTGAAGCACCCTCGTATGTTTAGATACATAAGAAAAGCCACAATTTAATTTAAAACATGAAGAAAAGGTACTTACATTTTAAACAGAAGAAAAATTGAAACTGAATGTTGTCACTTTCAGGTACCACCACTTCACCCTTCCTCTCACTACCGTGTCACGACTCCTTTCTTTTTTTCGGTTTTACGACCCTTTGTCTACATTTCTTATTCCCCTTTTACAACTGTATGCAAATGGATTGTACGTGGACTGACAAAACTGCATCTGAGGGATGATGCGGAGGTCCGATATCACTAAAGTTGTGTTTGTGCACTACGTTCGTGCATTGTGTTCAGTTACAAGTGTTCGGACATTAAGTCAAGACATTGCAAGTGATCAACCAAAATTGGCTTTGCGGTCGATTTGTTGGCCACCCCTGCATTTATTTAATTTTTGTTTTATTTTGGTTGCTATGCCTTGACTCTGGTCTGGCATAATACACAGCAACCGTTGTCAACCGAGTATAACTCACTGCACCCAACATAATAATAATACAATGTGTTTTAAAGTAGCACCATCTGTGGAGAAAGAAAAACCACACAAACTCACAAATAGACTTTCATTGCTATATTGATAATGTGATTTTATTTAAAAATTTTTGAGGTTAGTATTGTTCAATTAATAAGTAAGATGCGATTAGATCACTTTATTCAGCATATCTCAAATAATAATCTTTCCATAATATTTCCATTCTACTGAAATCAATCATAAACTTAAAAANGTCTGGATTACTGAAAGTGATTACATATTTGGCATTGTTTTGCTAGCAATAGCCTACAATATTCGCTACTCCAATTGTTCAAACAGAACTGCTCACGGAAAACACACGAAATGTGTGTCATTGTGTAAGAATTGGTTGGGGAGATTCATGTCGCGACATGCTTCTGTGAAAGCAGACACGTAACGGGGATGAGAGGTGCATCAGACTACTGAGCATGTTGGATTACAAAACATTGGACTATGAAGGGACAGCTGTATTGGATAATTATCCAATACAGCTGTCCCTTCATAGTCCAATGTTTTGTAATCCAATATGGAAATAAGCAGTTCAGTTAGTTAATTAAAAATTAACTAACTGAACTGCTTATTTCCATTTAGAAATGTCAAGGATATTTTTGAAATGAGCTGTATATTTGTTGTTTGTTAATATGTATATGTATATTGTGTGTTTGCATGCATATAAAATGTCAAATTTCCTGATTTTTTTATCTGTACTAATCATAAATTATATTTGGTTTTAAACATCCCTTTTTAAAAATTTTCTTTGAAGTATTTCTTATATGGACAGTAAGTTGACTACACAATTTCATCCCCTGTTTTTTGGTCAAATATTGATATTATTTTAAAAAATTTAATTTCAAATTTTAAAGTATTTCCTATAATCAAGTGTTTTTGAAATTATTTAACTATTTGATATATGAAACTTAGTACAAACAAATACAGACATTGTGAGAGTTTTTCTACAAAAGAAACATCACAGTTACATAAAGCAGTAAATCTAGCAGACTCAAATAAAGTTCCATTAAACTTACATTCATATCATATAGACATGACACAACATATAAAAAGCATAGGCACCATCAAGCATTCGTGGGCTCAAAAGGCACTCCACAGAAGGCATCCTTATGACCTGGCCCAGGATTTTGTTGACAAAACTGCGTCAAACAGCTGGTTAGATCGGGGAGGCCTCTTTGGAGAGATGGAAGGGTTTATGATTGCCATACAGGATATAAATACTAAAAACTATAGAAAACACATACTGAAAGATACAACACTCACAAATGACACATACAGAAAATGTCACATCATGCCAGAAACTATGCAGTACATCACTTCTGGTTGCAAGCTCTTGGCAAAGACAGATTATTTACATTTATTTATTTATTTTATTATGCATACTGGATACACTCCTTGATGCAGGGAGCAAAACCATCTCCCAAAGAACAACACTTAGATACAATGAACATAAGATCACAAACAGATTATACAATAATAAATTAAATNACACTCCTTGATGCAGGGAGCAAAACCATCTCCCAAAGAACAACACTTAGATACAATGAACATAAGATCACAAACAGATTATACAATAATAAATTAAATAAATAACAATTTAGATATAAATTAAAGATTTAAAAGTCAAATGTAATAATTAGTTAAAGTTTAAAGTTAAAGCTTGGGAGCATCTGTCAATAAAATTCAAAAAAACCAATAAATAAAAATAAAACAACCAAAAATAAGCAAATTGATTACCTATAAAAAAGAAATAAGTTAATAACGAAGATACAGCACTGACAGATGCTCCCAAACAACACCAGCAATAAAGCTAAATTTATAGTAGAGGAATCATGCCCCCTGGTAAGAACTTTACAACCGAAAATTTCTGCAAGTAGCACTTTAAGATGCCCACATTTAGCCAAAATATGCCAGGCATCCACAATTTCTTTTTCAACACAAAAGTCACACGATTCTCTNCCACAATTTAATTTAAAACATGAAGAAAAGGTACTTACATTTTAAACAGAAGAAAAATTGAAACTGAATGTTGTCACTTTCAGGTACCACCACTTCACCCTTCCTCTCACTACCGTGTCACGACTCCTTTCTTTTTTTCGGTTTTACGACCCTTTGTCTACATTTCTTATTCCCCTTTTACAACTGTATGCAAATGGATTGTACGTGGACTGACAAAACTGCATCTGAGGGATGATGCGGAGGTCCGATATCACTAAAGTTGTGTTTGTGCACTACGTTCGTGCATTGTGTTCAGTTACAAGTGTTCGGACATTAAGTCAAGACATTGCAAGTGATCAACCAAAATTGGCTTTGCGGTCGATTTGTTGGCCACCCCTGCATTTATTTAATTTTTGTTTTATTTTGGTTGCTATGCCTTGACTCTGGTCTGGCATAATACACAGCAACCGTTGTCAACCGAGTATAACTCACTGCACCCAACATAATAATAATACAATGTGTTTTAAAGTAGCACCATCTGTGGAGAAAGAAAAACCACACAAACTCACAAATAGACTTTCATTGCTATATTGATAATGTGATTTTATTTCAAAATTTTTGAGGTTAGTATTGTTCAATTAATAAGTAAGATGCGATTAGATCACTTTATTCAGCATATCTCAAATAATAATCTTTCCATAATATTTCCATTCTACTGAAATCAATCATAAACTTAAAAAAACATTTAAGTTAAATTCTTTTTTTATATTAAAATAAAAGTTTTTATATTTACAGGAAAAAATGAGAAAGTTTTGAAAAATGAATCTTGGTTGTCAAGTCCTACACAAATAGCGTGTCTACATTCTTCAATACCCGAAAAGTGCATTCAAACTTATTCTGAACAAAAAATAACAAAAAATCATCATCAAAATGAAGCACAAACTTATTCTTCAACTCTAAATCAAGAAAAACAGCAAAATTCATTAGATGTGAATGATGTAAAAGGAGCAACAGCAAATTTTTCCAGGAACAATTCCTTAAGTTCTCTTAGTGTGGATTCAACAGATGAACCATCTTCATCAGAACAAGCTCTTTTGGAAGAATGTATTAATATTGGTATGCCTAAAGATAAATCAGTGAAAGAAAAGCATGGTAAAAATAAATCTAAACAAGGGAATTTGCATTCCAAATTACCTGTAAGAGAAAGTAGTGATCAAATGTATAAAAGCAGTAAGCAAAAAAAAACAGAAGATAATATTAATAGAGGATCTGCATCTTTAGCAAGAGGTACAACGTTCTCAGAAATAAATGAGAAAAATGAAGAGAAAGGAATGGAAGATGAGAGAACAAAAGAGAAGCAAAAATATACAAACTTTGATTCTTTCAATAAATATCCATCGTCAGAAATTCAGAAAAAAAATGTAGAAACAAGCTTTATCGTCCTAACCCAAGAAGAAAACATAGATAGTGGAATTAATGAAAATATTACTGAAAAATATGAAGAATCAGATCATAATACACATTCATCTCCCAAAAAGCATCACAATATTGAAAAAACTGATGAATGTAGTGAAACCTCAAACAGTAATCATGTTTCTTTAAGCACATCAACAGTAATAAAACTAGAGGCTCAAAAAGTAGGAGCAGCAATTGAAGAACTTGTTGAAGATATGACCCAAAGCAGTATTAGTTGCACTTCTGATATTGAAAATGTTAATCCACCATCAGTAATGGATTTAAATATTAGTTTATCTAGCAACAGCATGTCTGAATGGTTTCCAAATAAATTAGATTCAGCTAAAAGGAATAACAGTAAAAGATTATTTAATAATACTCGAAAACATATTCCCGAATCTGTGAGACGTGCTTTGGCAGGGAATTTTGATGTAATGAAAATAAGTTCAAATTCAGACATTTTATGCAATATCAAGCCACCTTCAGCAATGGGATCAATAGAAAATCTTAGCTTAAAAAGTAGTTGTACTTCAGATTTACTTGAAAATGTAAATCCTCCATCTCTAATGGATGATGTATCCATGATAGGAAGTAGTATAAGTTTAAACAGTGTAAGTTCTGATATTCTAGAGAATCGTTCTCACAGTACTAACAATGTTAAAGATCATACAAATGATATTTATGATCGATTAAATGCTGCTGCAGCAATGGTTGAAATATATTCAAGAGAATATACTTCTTTACATAATGGTAGTGTCAAAAGTTCTCACAGTTCAGATATGATTGAACATATTAAACCACCTTCAATGACACACAATATAACTGAAGTTACAATTGAAGATGCAACAGAATTAGCATCTGATACTTTAGAATCAGATACTGAATTAGGTGAAGATTTACCCTGTGATGATGATACTGGTTCTGAAACATTAAAAGCACCCAATATTCCACCGTTGACTAAAGATGAAATATATGAAGGCAGTACTGAAAATTTAATGAGTTCATTCATTGATACAGATACTTTGGAATTCGAAAAAGATGAATGCAATAGCAATAATATAGAAATGCCTTTACCAAATATGAATATTACAGCTGAACAAATGAAAGTGCTTCAAGAAAATGCTCAATTAGTTGTCACAACTTTAAATGAAATTCAGATGTCTGGTTCTTCAGAAAGTGATCCAGATGCTGTCAATAGTAATGAAATGATTGAAGATGAAACCTTATCTTTAGTATCAGATGAATCTGATGATCCTTCTCAAACTGAAGAGATTGAAACAATATCAGAACAATATGTTTCTAAAATGACTTCAAATAACATTGAAAATTCTGAGATAGTTCCTACAAGTACAGATAAATTGAAAGTTTTAAAAACCAAACCTATATCACCAAATGCCTCATCTAATGTTGCAAGACTGTCATTTAGTTCTCAAAAAAATAGTAATACTAGTAATGATCCAATTCTTCCTTTAGAAAAATCTCAAAAGCCAATAAATGAGCTTTCTAAAGATGAAGTAATAAAAGAAGAGGAGAAAACTAAAAGTGAAGATCAAAGTTGTCGACCAAAATCATTAATTAAACAAGGAACTTTTACCAAAGATAAACCAGAATCCAATACAAAAAGAATATCTAATATTTTACATTCTAAAATCAAAGAAAATAAAATTGCAATTAATGATGATAATCAACAAACAGTTAAGATCAACTCTGTAAATAAAATACATGAGAAAAAGATTCCTGTAGGACAAACTAGGATTAGTTATTTGGCACGACCTTCCGGAATACAAAATGCACCCACTAGAACTTATGAACTTAAAAACACTTATAAAAGTTTGCAACAATCAACTGCAAATCAGAGTGTTGTTAATACAAAAGATAAGCCAGACTCTTCCAGAAGCCAGAGTCCTAATTTATTGAATAATGCTAATCATAACGGATCATTAGACAATTGTTCAACCAGTAATGTCAGTTTATCTTCTGCATCGTCATCTAGTACTCTTCCTGATAAAAGTCGTGGAAGTGTCAAGAAAGAAGTAGGCAGTAAAGTTGCTTCTATTTGGAAAAGTAAAAAATGTTCCAGAACTTATTCATCAGTTTCAACATCCAATAAGAAACCAGCTGTGTCTTCTCCAGCTACACAAACAACTGGTAACTATCAATATCAATCAAGAAAATCAGTGTCATCAAACAGGTAATTAAAATAACATGTTTTATCTACTTAAAAGTTAATGTAAATTCAAATATTTACACATTTAATATTTCATTTTTACAGGTTACAGTCACCAGTTCCTCATATTCCATCTCCACGTGAAGGTTTAAGTCGAAGCTCCACTTACGAAAAATTATCAACAAATGAAGAGAAAACTGAATGTTCTGCAGAGAAGACAACTGTAAATATTTTAAAAAGTAGAACCAAATGTTCTTTCAGTTGGAATAAAGGTGAACAAGGAAAACATTTAGGCGAAACTAGCAAAACAAGAACAAATACTAATGTATCAACTTGCAAATCTGAACAAGATTTTTCTAAAGATTCCTTTAAAATTCAGCAAGGTTCACCACAAGGGTCCAAAACAAAAATATCTGGAAATCAATGCAAGATTCAAAATTCTTTGCATTATAATCATTCCATTTCAAAAATGAATAAAAATGAAAGCAAACCAGTATCTGCTGTAGTTAGTCCATTTAATTATAATCCATCAGCCATAAATTCTAAGTCTAAAAGTGATGTGCCAAGTAAATCTATGATACCTGCACCAAAAAAGAGTACTGGTGTTCGTAATGCAGTTGGTGGAATTCGCACAGAAGAAAACGAAGGGAAACGGGTACGAAGAACTTGCCTTGTAACCATGGTGTGAAATTAAACTCTTTCCACATTTTTAAAGTGGTGCTGAAACTTCAAAGAATTCCATATTTTAAGTAAATTATAAAATAAGACTATTTATTGTTATGGTTGGACAACATAAAAAAACCATGTATGTGTGTCTGTCTGTGTTTCTGTGTAACTGCTCACAGTGAACTGAACATGTAATAAGAGTGCTCCACAAAGAACTATAAGTTTTGTTTTTTCAACAAAGAAAAAGGAAATCAATGGATTGTGCGTATGAAAATTTCAATACTCAAATTTTTCAAGAAAATGGATGAATAGAAAAATTATTGTGTGTGTTGTTTATTATTATTATTATTAATTATTATTATTATTATTAGTATATTTTTTGTTTAAAAGTTCAAAGCATTAATAGTGTGCCTGAATAGATAATATTCATTTGCTTGATAATTTTCCAACAAAGTATATATTTATATACAGTATGTTATTTTTAACTTCTTATGTTAGATGTTAAAAATTCTTCCATAGTTGTATGCAAATTATTCATACAATTAGATATTGACTTCTCCCTCATATTTCTAAATACATAAATTATTACTATCTGTTAATGAATATTGTCCTGTAAAAATATTTTTATTTTATATTTTTATTTTATTTGACAAATGTCATTGTGATTGTAAAAATTACTATTTTATGTATATGTCTTATTTAGGATAAAATGTATGAGAACTAGCATAGAAAATTTATCAAATGCATTTATCTTTAAAATCATTTCAGATTTACCTTTAACAATGAACGTGAAATAATAAGTTAAATTCTTTAATATTTGTATGTGATATTCAGCTTTATAAAATTTGACATGAAATAGTTTGCAATAATAATTTAAATTTCAAGATAATTTTTTAGATTTTTCCAACAATACAATATACCATACAATATTAATGAGAAGAATATATAAGAAAACAAATCTGTCCATTTAATATCAGAAATTTTCTGCTAATTATCAATATATATTATATATATGTATATATATATACATACACATATAGAAAACTGTATCAACATAAATTTCAAATCTGAATAAAATCTTACGTCTTAGTAACTAAGGAATACTTTCTTAATTTTGTATTATAAAATCGGTATGAGCAGTAAGTTCATATATCACGAATTATTTACTGTATCAATGAAACATAGAAACATTAATATAATTTGAAGTTATTTAGAAGAAGAAAGTTTCATTATGTTAATATTTCCATCTATTATAATTATTATTTAACAAATTATCATTGTTTTGAAAGAAAATTGTAATATAATCCAATCATCAACAGTTCAGCAGTTCCAAATAATCCAAGCCTCAAATTCAGTCAATCAGTATTTATATATGAAATGTCTAGTTAATAAAAAATAAATGTATGTGCACTATTATATAATTGTTTTTGTGATTTGTGTGTTGTTTTCATGTTTCAGAATTATTAATTTACAAATATTTTCGACAAAAGAAAATTATAGAAAATTGCTATTTTTATTTCTGTGAAGAATAAACTTTAATAAAAATATATGTAACTAATTGTGAAGTATTTTGTATATAAATCTTTATTATTATTATGTTTTATTTATAGAAAATTTATTTCCCTAAATTTATGCATTTTTTTTTTCTTTTTTAGAATTATTCAAATAGATTTTCTCTGCTTAATATCTTGAAAAATATATTCCATAGTCAAATGTAACAAAATTGTATGCTCAGGGAAGACTAATTTAATAAATTATTTCATTTACGATTATTGAGATGTAACACGGCATTTTTTTATTTGAATTTAGTTTTTAATGTTTNGACATAATAAAGTCTCTCGAGTCTCCGTAGATATAACAAACACAGAAATAAATAACACAAAATAAATTGTAGCTATGTGTGGATTCCGCGCGACACATCCGAACATGTAAGCTGAACAATAGTGTGGGGGGTGAGTGATCAAGGGTTGCGTGGCGCTCAAACAAAAGACGAATCGACAAGATTTGAAAATCGCGTAACTCCGGGTTCACGTAAGTCGGGGTATTACTGTACATCGCCGAAACAGTTAAGGCGTAAGTCTGCCGCTCTGGGGAACACAGGATCGATCTGGACAGTTGAAAGGACGACCCCAAAAATTTCCTGGTTTATCTCCGATATGTTGGGGTTTGTCCCTCACTCCATTGTGGACTTGGCCGAGTTCACAATGACATGGAAAAGGCTTTTATTTGTGCTCACGGGGCGGAAAGTCCAAAAATAAAAAAGAAATTCAAATGTATCGCACTACATAATAAACATTCTTAGGACATAGTCTTTCCCCTGGAATCTTAAAAGGCAGGGGAGATAATTTTTTGTTAGAAAACTGAAATAATCGTAACAGTATTTATCGTACATAATTAACAAATAAATATGAGAATCTACGCACAAATAACAGTAAATATACAAATAAAATGAAGTTTTTAGATAAATAATCACAGAATAAAACTTACCAGGGGAGAGATCACTTCACTCATTCACAACTGTACCCACAGAGTAATGTTACCGAAATCACTGACAAAATGACTGCGTGGTTAGCTCGCTTGATGCTTGCTGCTAACTTCATGTCCAATGAAATGCGTTCAAGATCACAATTTCCCGCGACAAAGTAAACAAACATCGTTTTTTGACAAATACAAAATGCCAGGGGACGAGACGCGAAAAATGCGGGACAAATTAGATGTAAATATTTTTTTATGAAAAAGAAATATTACGTAATTTTACTTGTTAGATTACAATAATTTACTTATCCTATTTTATTAAAATGAATGATTTTGATATTTTAATAGATTTCTATGTATTTAAAATTACTGATACACGAACAGAATCGGTTAGGGGACAGGCCAGGGGAGATATGTTTTTCATGTTTGAAGTACTATTGTGACTAAATTAAGTATATTTAAGTAATGAATTTAAGTGACCATAAAGAAGATGGTGAGTTTTGAGAGATAATAACATTATTTCAAACAAATTTTTGAAAAAAATGTGATTTTTT